GTCGGTCGTGGGTGGCACGAATTTGCGAAGCAGGATGACGTGGAAGGCGTCATGAATGCGCCAGTCGTCGGGTAGCAGCAGCTTTGCGGTGACAGGTGTCACCATCTTGATAATCTTGAAAGGCCCACAAAATCGTGGCCGTAATTTCGACGGGCCGGGCAGGCGCAGGTTCTTCGTGTCAAGTAGCACTAGTTGCCCAGTGGTCAAGACGAGTTCCCGGCGTAGAAGGTCGGTGTATTTTCGGGAAGTGATATTCGCCTTGCGAATTGCGTCTGCGGATTTTTCGCGGACTTCCTGAAGCTCCGTCACAAAATTTTGTGACCTCGGAACCGGGTTGTCGATGGTAGTTGCCGTAGGCACCGTCGGGTCCATCCCGTAATTCAAGAAGAATGGGGAGTGATTAGTCGTACTGGACGGGGCGTTGTTGAAGGCGAATTCCAACATGGCGAGTGATTCTTCCCAGCGGGCAGGGTCGGGGCAGTTTGTCCTGATCAGCTGCTCCATGGTCTGATTGGTCCGCTCGGTCTGGCCGTCCGTCTGTGGATGATATGCCGATGAGAACTGTAGTTTCGTGCCGTACTGCGTCCACGTCTCCTTCTAGAATTTTGATGTAAACTTCGGGTCGCGGTCGCTGATGATCGCTGAAGGGATGTCGTGCAGTCGCACGACCGTTGAGATGAAGAGGCGCGCAGTTCCTTCGGCTGTGATTGTTGTTCGGCATGGGGCAAAGTGCGCCATCTTCATGAAGCGATCGACGACGACGAGTACAGCGTCGTTGCCGGACGGCCCAGCTGGCATCCCCGTGACAAAATCCATTGTCACTTGCTGCCACGGTCGTTCAGGTGGCTCGAGGGGTTGCAGCAGCCCAGCTGGTCGTTGACGTGTCGATTTCATGGCTTGGCACACCCTGCATGAGGACACATATCGCTGCACGTCGTTAGATGAATGAGGCCAGTAATATTGACGGTGCAGTAATTTCTGGGTTTTGTCAACCCCGAAGTGTCCGGAGAAGTTCGAATCGTGGACCTCCTGGATAAGGAGTTCACGCAGCAGCCTGTAAGCGGGAACCCAAATCCGGTCGGTTCCGGCTTTTAGGCAATAATCCCCTTTTTGCGTCGTGGCCTGCTGGTGGTTCCCAGTCGTGAAGAACAGGTCCGTAGTGTATCCGTGGGTGAATAGTCCGGTAAGTAACGGGTTCGAATGGTAATGAGTACTGCAGCGGATTGTACTGTCGGTCGGGTCAGGGCGTCGGCGATATTATTCGCCCCTTTCTTGTACGTGATGCGGTAGGTGAAGTGGCTCTCCATGTAGTCCAGCCACCGAATTTGTCGCGGGTTGAGGTTGGGCTGGGCTCGCAGGTACTGTAGGGACTTGTGGTCCGTGCGAACAGTGACGTCGGCGCCCACCAAGTAGCAGCGCCACAGTTTGAACGCGTGTATAATGGCGAGCATCTCCTTGTCGTGGATCGGGTAGTTGCGTTCGGCTGCCTGCAGCTTGCGTGATTCGTAAGCGATTGGCTGCAGCCCGTCCCCGAAATCTTTGAGTAGCACAGCTCCGATGGCGAAATCAGAGGCGTCGGTTACGACTTCGAACGGCTTCGATGGGTAGCACAGGAGGGGAAACAAGAAAATTCTTGAGTTCCTGGAAAGCCGCTTCTGCCTCCTCCCCCCACACAAAATGCCTGTCCTTGTGCAGCAGGTCGGTCAGCGGGCCGGTTATCCCCGCCATATTCGGGATAAACCGCCTGACGTAATTCACGAACCCCAGAAAACTCTGCAGTTCCGTGATATTCGTCGGGGACTTCCACTCCTGTATGGTCTTGATTTTCGCCGGGTCGATTCCAATGCCTTCGCGGGATATGACGTGCCCCAAAAACTCCAACTCCTGCTTAAAAAACTCGCACTTAGAGCCCTTGGTGATGAGTCGGTTCTCCTGCAGCCGCTTAAACACTGCATCCAGGTCGCGGAGGTGTTGCTCCCTTGTCTTGCTAAAAATCAGGATATCGTCCAAGTAGACGATGACACATCGGTCTAAAAGATCCCGAAAAACCCTGTTCATGGTAAGTTGAAATGTCGAAGGCGCGTTCGTGAGGCCGAAAGGCATCACTGTAAATTCGTAACTCCCGTAGCGTGTGCGAAACGCAGTCTTATGACAGTCGTCGGCGAAGACTCGAATCTGGTGGTGACCGCCACGTAAGTCAAACTTCGAGAAATAGCGAGCGCCGCGAAGTTGGTCAAGGAGGTCGTCGGTACGTGGGATTGGGTCGCGAGACTTGATGGTGACCCGGTTCAGCGTGCGATAGTCGATGCACATGCGAAGCCCGCCGTCTTTCTTCGGAGTGAACAGGATCGGTGCTGCGAAGGGAGATGTGCTGGCCCGAATGAACCATTTCTCGAACATTGCATCAATTTGACTTCGCAGCTCCTCGAGTTCCGGCTGGGTCAACCGCCACTGTGTCCGAACAGTCGGCTTCGCGCCAGGTTCCAGCTGGATTTTGTGGTCCTCATGTCTCTCGGGTGGCAGTCCAGGTGGCAGATCGTCTGGGAAAATGTCGGGGTACCTCCGAATCAGCTCCGCTAAATCCGATGGTACAGCTGCACACAGCTTCTCGATGTCCTTTCCGTCGGTGTCAACCGCCAACTCGCGTAAGCAGACAGCGAACAGCTGCGCGCCCCTGTTGAAGTGGCGAGCTATAGTGACAGCTTTGACGCACGGGGCTTGGATGTAGTCAGGTGTCCATGCAGGCAACTTAATTAGCCCCTCGTGCTTGTTGATGCTGCACGATCCCGTTGTCCAGTCGATGACGGGGTTGTGCCGTCGCAGCCAATCACGTCCCAGCAGTACGTCGCAGCTGTCCAGTGTTGTCGCGAGGAACTTCATGCTGAAGCTGAAATCGTCGCCGCATTCGATCCTGACCGTCTGTGTTTCTTCCGTTATCGCCAGAGGCGTCCCATCCACGAGGCGGGCGTCAATTTCAAGTTATTTTTTAACACCTTGCCAACGACCAGCACAGGGTGATCCACATGTGTATCCCCGTTATTCGGCCGAGTGCGATCGATTGCATAAATCGGGACCACGACTCGGTGGGGATGGTGGGGTTCGGGCGACGGAGCACAGTCAGTAAAGGGCCGGTTAATTACTGACTCTTCCCATTTCCCTGCTCCTTCCTGTCGTTCCCCGTCAGCGGCGTTTTCTCGTGGTAGTCTCTCATGTAGTGACCCGTCTTCCCACACCGAAAACACGGACCCTTAGGAGGGCGGTCGGGTGTATGGACGGCGTTGATCGTAGCCCGATGGGTCTGGCCACGAAAGCGGTTTCCATCCCTGGAAGCTGCTCTCGCGTATTGCATCAGCGCATCTGTTGACTCCGCCAGCCGTACTGCTTCAAGGAATGATGTCGGGCGGCCCCTGCGAACCTCGTACTGTATCTCGTATTTGAGGCCGCTGATGTATTTATCTAACCACTCTGCTTCCGACATGTCATCCACTTGTTCGGCGAGGCCCATAAATGACGCCGTGTAGTCTTGGACAGAAGCCATCTACGACCATGCACGCAGCTTCATGCGAGCTTGCTCCGAGGCGGATACGTGCTCGAAGCGATCTCGTAAGGCTGCGCCCCACTCCTTCCACGTGCGTATCGTGGTCACTCCGAAGATCGGTTCTGCCACTTGATTAGTCACTGTTGAGGTCCCGTCTGCCGCATGCGTCACACCTGTCGGCGTCCCCGTTTCCAAGGTTCGGCGCCACCACTCAAGCGCTGCACCTCGAAGAAGCGAAACCGCGTAATTAATACGCGTGGCGTCGTCATTAACTCCTGCTGCAGTGAAGAAGACCTCGACCCCGAACAGCCACCCTTTTACTATAACCGTCTTGTCCGTAGGATTAAACGGGGGCGGATTGACGGGCTTGATCTTGATCGTCGTTACTGCAACTGGCGCTGATGCCGCTCGCTGCCTATCCTCCTCTTCGAAGTCACGTGTGAGCGCGTCCAAGGGATTGCTCACCGCTTGACTGTTGCCCTCGCCTTCGTCCTCGGGCGACACCTGACGCGCTTCACCTCGCGTCTGGCGCAGCTCGGCGTTTTCTTCACGCAGTGTTGTCACTTCCGCCATTAACGACTTCATGCTCTCCTGCATTTCTGCCACTTGCGCCATCATACTGTTAACCGCCTCCTGATCCATGTGCCTAGCGCTACGTCTGGTGGGCAATCGGGTATCCGTGGCCTTCAGGCAAGTGAAAACACGAACTATCGGAGTCGGGCAGGATTGAATTAACAATCCCTGCAGCCAACCGTCGTGTAGTCACTAAACCAGCCACACCCTATGCCACCAAACTACCCTCGGAAAAGCGGGGTGAACTAGGAAAGTAGCTCTGATACCAGGTGTTATGAGTTGTAAAAGAGAGTGCGCAGGTAAACGAATAACGAGACTGTGATTAACTGATCTGAGAATACAATGAAGGCACAGACTAATGTAGGGGCTAGCCTAGCTAGGAGGGAACCTCGGACGAGCGAGGTTGGGTGCAGGTTTGGCGATTGGGAAATGCCGAAGGTGACGCGAGGAGCCTCGGCAGCGTTGAAATCGGCCGAACGTGCGAAGTCCGAAAATCGGGCTGTACGCGAAGCAGTCAACCCCGATAAGGAATTCGGGAAAATTCCTTACAGTCCAGTAAGTCAATAGAGACATTGAGCAGTTGCAGTATGCCTCTGAATCACTACAACGATCCGTTTAGTCAAGTTTTGAGTAGGGTATTGCTCTGCTGTGCATAGAGGTAAGATAAACTTCTCTCACACCATACTCACAAAACAGGAACGATTTATCCATAACGCGGTAACAGAATGGTCTCTGTTAAGGTATTGGAGGGACCATACGTAGGTACTACGACTTCTCTGGAGCTTAGGTAGCAACAGGTTTGTGGGTAGCACTCCTCCAATTGACTTCTACATGTATTAATTAAGGTTGAACTAAGCACTATATTTCAAAATGTACAGGTTTTTTAAACTTAGTGAGATCCGTAAAAGGCATCCAGGCTCTGGAAAACGGTGGTGTTCCATGGGTCAGAAAGGTGGGCAACGAGGTTGGCGTAAGGACCAGCACCAGTGACGTGCGATTGGATGATGAAGCCCAAGAAAGCCATCATGGCGGTACGGCCTGGAAATGGATGAGCAAGATAAGAGGATTATTTTAGTGAGGAAAACAAAAATAACGAGACATCAAGCACACTAAAAAAAAAAAAGATACTCACCATTAGCCAGCTCGCTCTCCTTGGTGCGGAAGTCAGTCCCCATACCCAGGGGGTTGAAGCCGGGGTAACCCACATCACCAGCAGGAAGCTTGTTGTTCTTGAAGAAGGGGTCCGTGCTCACGCTGCCGGGCTTCTTAATGTCTTGCCACCTCAGAAGCTCCACGAAGTTGAACAGGATGAACTCGATCGCGAACAGGGTGGGAGTGGGGCACCAGAACTCAGCGACACCAGTGTCGTACCACACTGGCACGTTTAGGAGCCCAGCGGAGGTCAGAGCCTCGGGGATGATCATGCCGGCAACACCGAGCATGGCCCAGCGGCCGTTCTGGAGCTCGGCCTGGACGTACCACTTGAGGTTCTCGGGATCCTCAGCCAGGGCAAGGGGATCGAAGCCGTTGTCGCCTGGAAGGCTGCATCACGGAAACAAGATGAGCGCGTTTTAATATCTGAGTACTGAGAGCCTCTCAGGCATTGTGTTTTCCCTCGGTGCCTATCAAACATACACTACAGCGTAGACGACGCAGACCGTGAAGTACCTGCCATCAAGCCAGGCCGGAGATGTAGAACCTGGGAGCCAGTTGCCCTTGGCCTCTATTTTAAGGGCCGACACGGATGCTGACTGCGCAGCAGCACGGGTCGACTTAGCAAGGCGCGATTGGCCAGCGCCAAGGAAGGCGGACTTGGCCAGAACGGCCGTAGACGCAGCCTGCATGGTGATGGAGGCCATGGCTCTTGGTAGTCTGTGTTGGAGCAACAACGGATAGTGACAAAGCTTCTATGCACAGCACTCAGCTTCTTCTCAACCGGGACTACTTCAGGCCGCAACAAGGTTCCCCGTCTGGGGAAAAAGTCGGGCTTTCCAACACAAGTGTGCAGAAATTGACATTAGCCAATACCCATAACTTGCTAACATATCTCAGGGGACCAATCGCATTGGAGAACCATCTTTGATTATGGTCATTGGTTGGTTCACGCTGGTCTGTGTTACGGAGTGCGCGATTTTGGCGCCTCGAGTTTGTGGGGTGAGGACGGTTGGCGAAATGCTAGTTGAACATTCTGACAAACATCTGAGCACACTGACGAACATTCTTTCGATCCGCTCTATTCCACACCACACTGGAACACCACTACCATCTCAACTACACATTTGCGCTACAAAATATGGATATTTAGAATTATCATTACACAAGCTGCATGGAAACTCAAGAGCTTAAGCTACACCATGTAAGCACCTCCAGCTATTCACCACGCTAAGCAAAACAGAAGCCCTCGACAAGGACTCTGAATTCATAGACTTCAAACAACAAATTCAGAAAGTTTAGCCTTAGCTCTATGTGCCCCGCCTACATGTCGAAGTGATCTGAATATGTAAATACTTGAACCTAAGATCAGGTGCATGTCCATGATGTCGAGTGCTCGATTTCTCACCCGTCCTACTCTGCTCAATCAGAGTCGGAGTCGTCGCTATCATCTGAGTCGTCGCTATCATCGTCGCTGTCATCATCAGAGTCGGTATCATCCTTTGTGGCTGGAGGAGGCGGTTTCTTTTCTTCAACTGGCTTGGATGGTGTTGAGGTTGCAGCAGCTGGGGGAGGTGCTGAAGAGGAAGCAGCCACGGGCTTCGGGGGTGGAACCTCCTCTTCTTTCACAACTGAGCTGGACGGAGGTTCCGAAACGGCAGCAGCCGCAGACTTTGCAGGCGAGGCACTTGAGGGCTTGGATATGGACACAGATGTCACCGCAGTTGCGGCTTGTGATCCAGCATCAGCCCCGTCGCCTGTTTCACGCTGCATCTCTGTAAAATTGCCCTTCTTCAAGAACAGCTGTTGGAAATGCGCCTTACAGTACAGCTTCCCTCCCAGTGCTTGGTAAGTCGAGGTCGTGAGCTTGCATCCACTGTGGACGCATTTGAAACACTGGTTGTGGTACGTGGAGTTCTCGACACTGACCTGAAACGGCATGAAATCCCATGTGAGCGCGAGAGCGCATCCATCAGCAAAAGCAGTAGGGGAGTCGGAGTCAAACTTACCTTTTCCAGGGGGTAGACTGTCTTGCTGCAAACTACGCACTTCTCCTGTGTCCCGCCGAACCTCGCTGCCAAAGGATTGACGACCCTCTGCATAATATCAAGATCAAGTGATTACGATCAAGAACCAAGTTGGCTTGGTTAAAAGGAAAAAAGACGAGGAAAATCAGTTCTGGCATACCTTGTTGTCTCCTCCGTATCTTGATACGCCAGTGGTAGATGTCACACCTGAGGCAACAAAAGAAGACTGAGATACTAGCACTCGAAGCCATACAATCCGAGTAGAAAGATCATACTCACTCCCAGGTGCCACAGTTTTCTCCTTCTCCGACTTGATGGCATCCTCAAAGCTCTTGTTGTAGCACCCAGTTTTCTTAAAGAGTTGATCGAAGTGCGGCTTACAGTACAGAACACCTTCAAGCGAAGCGAAACTATTCAGCTGTTGGGACAGAAAACAGAGACCTTTAGCCAACGTTATGAATCGTGTTTAAGAGGAGAACAAGCTGTCTAACAAATATTCACCTTAAGAGTGCCCTTGCAATGAAAGCACCTGCTCAATACACACAACATGGACGATCTAGGTCAGCGTTTGTGTGGGCACACGCGATGGATATGCACTCTAGAGGAACTCACCGGAAACAATGCTTGTGGAAGATGACCCCATCGGCTATCAACTGCTCCATCAAGTACACGGTCTTTCCGCAAGACTTGCATTTTGTAGTCGTCCCAGTGAAGGCGGACATTTTCAAAGGTACGATAGCACCTAGCCTAATCTCAGAACGAGCTAGGCCTACTTAGGACGACGACAGATCCTGATCAGTGCCCAAACTAAGGCTACCGTGTTCTCTTTGGGAATCAGCTGGTTGGGTGAATCTGGGGAGGAAGAAGGGAACTCTGAAGTGGCTGGGGTGGTTGTATGGAGGTGGTGTGAGTGTCGCATGGGTGCCTGAACTGAAGGGTCTCGGTGTCACTCCATCGTGCCTGGCGACGGAGACGCGACGCTGAGTGCTGGTGAGAGTAGATCGTGCGATTCTGCGAACAGTTTCGTTTGAAATGGGAGTTTCGGAAAGCTTCTTGGAGATCCTGCCAACTTCGGCGAAGCGCAGTTCCTGCCAGTGTTACCAGAAGGGATGTCAGGGTTTCGTTCGACTTCTTCGCGGACGAAGCAGGACCTCTGGTTATTATTACACTTGAAATGGGTATACGTTACAGCCTCATAACAGGTCCTTACCTTAACATGGAATTTTGATACTATCGATCCCTCCCAAGGCACTCACTCGTTCTATGAATATCCATCTGAGCATGCATGATTCCAGAGTTTTACTCTGTCAAATCACTGTATTCTAATCAGCAAATATTAACATTTATTATACCCTATGCTAGCACATCACATCACAACACTAATCTATGCACACGCTAGTCAGTAAGGTTAGTATTGGTTGTTCCATTCCTTATTGACATGAGGCTGAGAGCCCAGTACCAAATCACCAGCTGCTCCAGCACCTACACCAGCATGGGCTTGTTTTATAAACTGACCCCGAAACCTCGGTCGTTGTTCTGCCAGACGCTTCCGACTTTGATAACGAACCTGAAAGTGCAAAAGAACAGAAAGGAGAAGCTTAGTAAGTACATCTGTATGGCAACCCATGAGGTAGGAATGCTTCGCAATGGTAAGACATCCCCAAGAAGCAACCCCCTAAGAAAAACGACGTCGCGTACCTTCTTTTCGAAGCACCGGTCCTTGCGCTTCTGCCTGAATTTATTCAGTGCTGCCTCTCGCACCGCCTGCCGGCTCATCACAGTCGGAACGGCAGCCCCAGCCGCACACCCTCCTCCTGCAGCCCCCAGCGCAGCCTGGCACTGCCCAGAGCCTTGCGACAGCCCACAACCAGGCCCACCACAGGCACATGCAGCACACGCAGCTGCTTCCGCTGCAGCCATCTCGTGAGGCTGGGAAATCCCGGCTCTTGAGCTGGAAACATCCATGGCATGGCACTGCTGTGCTGCCGTGTCAACTCCTCCTCCTGCTGCTACTGCTGCTCCACACGTGCCCCATTCCCCCTCCGCCATCTCCCCCTCCTTGCCTTCGTCCTCTGCATCTACCACTTCACCGGTCATGGTGGCAGGCGTGGCAGATGCGTCAGCAGCGCAGGGGGGGAACGCCACAGCCTGCCCCATCAGGCTGACCATTTTCACCCCACTGCCCCAGCCCGCCTCCGTGTGCATGCTCCCAGGGTCATTGCCCTCCCTGCGCCGCGCCTCCTCGCCTGCTCTCCACACATTTGCCGCTGTGCCATCTGTGCGCTCTGGTCGCGTCTGCAAGGGATGACCATTGGTGCTGCCACCCCCAACCCCTGCAGGAGCTGCGTCCCTGCTGTCTTGAGCGCTACCCACACCGCCACTGCCCCCGCCCCCACTGCCCTGACCACTCTGCACCCCACTTTCATCTCCATTCCCACTCCCTCTCCCACTCCCACTCCCACTCCCACTCCCACCCTCTCCGCTCCCATACACAGTTCCATCAACATTCGCCCTACCACCATCCTCAGTGAAAGCATTTGTGCTCTGGCGATTGCTGGCAGCTGCTGCTGCTGCCACCGCCGCTCCTGCAGCTGCAGATGCTGGTATAGGCCCAGCAGCAGCTGCAGAAGAGCCGACGACGGCAGGAGATACGGCACTGAAGCTGCTTTCATGCACCAGCTGGCTCTGCTGATGCTGATGCTGATTGTGATGGTGGTGGTGGTGATGGTGGCGCTGCTGCTGTCTATTCTCGCAAGCAGCATCAGCTTCCCTGCCATCTCTATTTTCACTGTTTGGCACCACCTCACCATGCTCCTTCTCCTTCCCTTCCTCCCTCTTATGCTCCTTTCCTTGCCGCCTCCCTGGCTCTTTCCCTTGGTCCCTCACATGCTCCCTCCCTCGCTCGTCTTGCCCATGCTGCTGCCTGCTGCCCCCTCCCATCGTCCACGGGGGGAGAGGCAGCTTGAGCACAGGGGCAGGAGGAAGACGGCTGGCACATGCCGTGCTGCCTGTAGCTGCACCAGCACCGGCAGCAGTGGCAGCAGCGGCGGCGGCGGCGGCGGCGGCAGCAGTGGCAGCAGCAGCAGCAGCAGCTGGTGCTGTGCCTATGTGAATCTCCTGAGGGGATACGCCTTGGTGCTCAAGAGACATTGCCGTGGGGCTTGGGTGGAGTGAGGGAGTTGAAAGGAAGGAGAGGGTGGCAGGGCGCGAGAGAGGCGAGGGATGGGAGGAGGCGTGCGGGGCGTGTGCGGGCAGGTGGGAGAGGGGCGGGCGGGTGGGGAGGAAAGGCGAGGTCGAGAAGCTGGGAGGAGCCAGGCTTGACAGGAGATTCAGCTGCTGTGCTGCTGCTGCCGCTGCCGCTGCTGCTGCTGCTGCCGCCGCTGGTGCCGCTGTTGCTGGTGGTGGTGCTGCTGCTGCTGGTGCCAGCGCTTGGGGTAGTTGAAACTGCCCGTGCTGCTGCTGCTGCAGTTGCAGGTGCTGCTGTGCTTGCATCTGCTGCAGCAACGCTTGCTGCATGGCCTGCTGAGCCAGCTGCGGCATCTGAGGCGCGTACAGCCATGGAGGGGGCACCCCTGCCGCTGCCGTCGCAGCAGCTGCAGCAGCATAGTACACAGGAGGCAGGTACACACCCGCGGAATGGTCAAGAGGAAACCCAGAGAGGGGCGGAAGCCCTGGAGGGGTGATAGACGCTGGAGACGGAGTGGGATTAGGATTCCCAGCAGGGCCAGCTGCAGCAGCAATAGCAGCAGCAGGTTCGAGACCCGCAGCTCCACAGGTACTACTACCACCCAATGCTGCTGTTCTCCCATCCCTCCCTCCTTGCCCCTCCCCGCTGCTCCCTGCCGCCCCGCACCCGTCCAGGTCCTCCCCCTGGGCAGGTGAAACTCCTCGCATTGGCGTGGTGGGTCTGCCCAGGCCTGGAAAACCGTTGGGTCCGGGCAGCAGAGTGAAAGGATTGAAGGGATGGAACATGGCGGCTGCAGCAGCAGCAGCAGCAGCAGGTGGGGGAGCGGGGTATGAATCACCGAATGGGTGCGCGAAGGGGGAGGGGAGAGCGGGGTTGTAGCGGAAAGGAGAGGCCTCCCTATGCTGCCCTGCTGCTGCTGCCAGTGGCGTTGGTGCTGCTGGACTGATTGTTCCTAGTCCAAGGAGCGCAGCTGCTGCTGCTTCTCGCGGTGCTGATGCTGTTGCTGCCGCTGCGGCCGCTGCCGCTGCCGCTGCAGCTGCCGCCGCAGCTGGTGCTGCTGGTGGTGCTGCAGCTGCAGTGGCAGTTGGTGCTGCATCTGCGTCTGCTGCTCCTGCAGCAACAGCAGCATCCCCACGTTCTGGTGTTCTCTGCGACACTGCCATTCCACTCTCCCCCTCATTCCCTCCTCTCCTCCTCCCTTCCACATTCGCACTACCCTTCTCCCCACTCCCTCCGCTACCACTGTTACCACCACCGTCGCGAACGCTCGTCAGCCCGCTGCTGCCGTCCATCTTCCCTCCCGAGCCTCCACCCGAACCTCCCGTACCGCCCGAGCCTCCAACCAAACCAACCGAACCAACCACGGACTTGGGCGGTTGGCTTGACAATGGGTGGGCTGGGCTCTGAGGGAATAACAGCTGCCTGCACTCCTGTTGCTGCTGCTGGTGCTGCTGGTGTTGCTGGTGATGCTGATGCTGATGGTGCGATTGTTGGTGCTGCCCAAGTCCTGTGACGGCTACGGATGAACCAGGAGTGATAGTACCGGAAGCGCCAGTTTCAGGTGTGCTTGTAACCCGAGGCGAGAGCAAACGGCTGGGGCCTGGAGCAGCGGCAGCGAGAGGAATAGCGGCTGTAGGAGCAGCAGCAAGAGGAGCAGCAGCAGCAGAAGAACCAGCAGCAGCGGCAGCGGGAGCAGCAGCAGCAGGATGGGGAAGAGGGAATGCAGCAGCAGGGGGTGCTGTGGTGTAGCGCGTGAAGGCAGAGAGACCCGAGTGCTGCCAGGGGGACTGCTGCCACGCCGCTTGCTGCCATGCTGCTGTATGGTGCTGCGATGCATGGTGCTGCGATGCATGGTGCTGAACGTGCATGTGCTGTTGCTGGTGATGCTGGTTCTGATGTTGATGCTGGTTGTGATGCTGATGGTAGTAGCTCTGATCCTGTCTCCAGTTGCCCTCCTGCCGCGGACTTTCCCTTTCCATTTCCCTCTCCCTCTCCCTCTGCTCCTCCATCTCTTCCACTCGCATTGCTGCATTGTCCCACGCCGCCACCTCTGCATCCCGTCGCCCTCCTTTCCCACCCTCGTCAGCTTCCACTCGCCTCCTCACTCTCCTCGCATCCTCCTCCCCTCCTCCCTCCGATGCTTCTGCTGCCCTCTTGGCTCCCTCGGATTTGTCTGCCCCTGCTCTTCCTGCTGCTCCTTCTGCTCCTTCCGACCCCACATCTCCCCCCTCATCTCGGCCTCTCTTGATCTCTCCTTCCGCCCGCTGCTCCGCAGCCCCGTCCCCATGCTCCCCTCCCACTGTCATTCCCTCATCGCTTTCCCTCATGTCAAGGTCCTTCTGAGCGTCTCCGCCCTTTACAGTCACGTTCTTGGCAGGAGAAGAACGTTCTTCAGCACCTTCCTCTGCAGCTTCCTCCTCTGTGCCGAAGTTCCACCTCACCTTCTTCCCGTCTCTGTCCGCCTTACAAGCCATCTCGATAAGAGCAGGAACAGCCCCCTGGGAGAGTGATCCGTCGTGTAAGCAGCCTACCACTGAGGTCACCATTTGGGTTACCACAGGTGTTACCACCACTGCAGCACCCGCACCAGCACCAGCAGGAGCAGCAGCAGCAGCAGCACCAGTATCAGCAGCAGTTTCAGGTTCGACTGCCAGTGCTCCTGCCACCGAATCCGTTGCGATTGCTTCTGCAACATCCATTCCGGTTTCCCTTTCGGCAGCAACAGCAGCACTGTCAGCAGCAGCAGCAGCAGCGTTACAGTCAGCTGCAGCACGATGCATTCTCCCTTTCACCACCTCCTCCTCCCCCTCCTGTTGTTTCCCATCCACCTCTGCCTCCTTCGCCGCCTCTTCCCCCGCCACTTCCTCCGCCTTGTCCCCCGCTTCCCCATCCCCTTCCGCCCGCGCCGGCCCCTCACACTCCTCTTTCTTTGTCGAACCTTCCCCGGACGCCTGCGCGCTTTCCACCACCGCCTCAGCTGCGCGCACTGCCTCCGCCGCCACCACCCCCTCCGCCCTGCCCCCGCTGCCCCCATTCCACCCCCAGCCCCCCCTGCCCTGCTGCTGCTGCTGCTGCGGCGAACGGCCCTTTCTCAACCCTCCTGGATCCCGCCCGTTGCCCCTCGCAGCACCTGCACCTTGTCTCGTCTCCACTTCCTCCCCCATCTCGCCCACCTCCGCCTTCTCCCCTTTCTTCCCCTTCTCCCCCCGCGCTTGCTGCGCCTTGGCGGCTTGCGCGTGCTGGTTATCCACCTGGCGCGATCAGAGGGCGCGGGGGGAATGGGAGAGTGAGTGAGTAAGTGACACCGTGGAATAGCGGGGGTCTGAGGGGGGTGAAGGAAGAGTGGGGGGTGACGACGACAGGTACGGAAGGATGGCAACAGGTACGGAAGGATGACGACAGGTACGGCAGGATGGCAACAGGTACGGAAGGATGACGACAGGTACGGCAGGATGGCAACAGGTACGGACGGACAGCAACAGGTACGGACGGACAGCAACAGGTACGGACGGACAGCTACGGAGAGATGGGGGCATGTGCTTGAGAGACGTGGGCGGGTGAGGAGAGAAAGAGACTTGGACAAGGAGTAGTTGGATGGAGGAGGGGGAACGGGGACATGAAAGGGTGGAGCGGGGAGGGTAGGGAGGAACGCGGGGATGGTACCGGCATGCCATGGCACGTGCAAGGCAAGAGAAACCCATTCCTCACCTGGGTGGCCACTTGAGTGCCGCTGCCGTTGTCACTGCCGCCATTCGCGTCCACATTCCCGTCGCCATCCCTCTCCATATACACATCATCTCCTTCCCCCTCCCCTTCCCCTTCCCCTTCCCCACCGCGCCCGGCCCCACCGCCGCCGTCGCCGTCAGCAGCGGCGGCAGCAGCGGCGCCGTCGGCGGCGGCGTAGGCGGCGTTGGGCGCGCGCTGATTGGCGAGTCCCAGAAGCACCTTGCCGTTGGTGCCGCTGCCGCTGCCGCTGCCACTGCCGCTCGACTGAGAAGCGGGGGCGAGGGAAACGGCAGAACGGGCGGAGAGCGAGAGGGCACGAAAAGGGGGGAGGGAAGGGAGAGAGGAGCGAGAGGAGAGGGAGGAGAGGGAAGAGAGGCAGGAAAGGGAAGAGAGGGAAGGACGAGGGAAGAGAGGAGACGCGGATGAGGAAGGGGAGCGGCATGCAGGGAGAGTATGTCAACAGGTGTGTAGTTACAAGGGAGTGAAAAGCAGAAAGCAGCATCTCGAAATTGGATTTGAAAGGTCAGGACGGAGAGACGAGGGGGACGGGAGGGGAAGGGCGGGGGCGAGAGGGGACGGCCAGGGATGGGAGGGGAGGCTGAGGGAAAATGCACGGCGAATGCACGGCGAAACGCGGGGGAGAGGAGTGGCGAGGGAAAAGGGGCGAGAGGAGAAAGCGCGAGAGGAGAGGGGGAGAGAGGGCGAGGGAGGGGGCGTACGGAGTGGCATCGGCGCCAGACGTGCTGCCAGAGGTTCTTGAGCTCGTTCTTGCGCACGGGCTTCACGAGGAAGTCCGCTGCACCCCTCTGAAAACACTTCAACACCATCTCCATGCTGTCGTGCGACGACATCACTGGAAGGCGAGGGAGGGGGGCAAGGAGCGGTTGGAGAAAGAGAGGGTCAGCAGATAAGGACTGGGAGCGCTTGAGTGCCGTGATCTCCATGCCACCGTGCCATGACATGAAATCTTTGCGGAAAGCAACGCGGAAACACATCCACGTGGCGTGAGATTTGCGAGGCTGCACGGCCCCGCAGCCGGTTTGTTCTAATGGCGCCGTGCCTGCCTTGCGCGCGTCGGCACGTACTTATAACGGGGATGCCGCGCAGCTCCTCTTTGCCCATGATGCGCGCGAGCAGCGCGATGCCCGACAGCCCCGGCATCACCACGTCCGTCAGCACCAGGTCGAACCGCCCGCCGCTGCCGCTCGATAGCAGCTCCCACGCGTGCTGCCCGCTCGACGCGGGTGTGACTGTATCGGGGAGAAGCGGTCGAGGTTGGAGGGGAGAAGGGGGAGGGGGAGAGCGGGAGGAAAGGAAGCAGGAGGGGGAGAAGGGGGGTTCGGGGAAGAGGGGAAGAGAGGAGGGGGTGGAAGGGGGAGGGGGGGTGTCGGGAGTTAGTGAGATAGAGAGGCTACGATAATGGGTGTTGAGACGCAGAGAGAATGGAGAACGGCAGCAAGACGGCAACTGAACGCATTGGCCGTTAAGTCGGACGTTAACGAGTTAACAGTTGCTCCTCGCGTAAGCTGCACCCCTCCGCAAGTGTCGTCGCGGCCAGCGGTTCGTAAACGAGCCGCTGATCTGGATCTACACCCAGCTTCACTACCAATCCGCCGAGACTTAATCGTGCATTCGCAAATACACTCCACCCGACACAGTTATCGTACTCACTAGCAGCATACCCCACAAACGGCACGTTTACCTCGCCTCGACTCCTTCGCCTACCGGCACGCACTGACCGCCGGCAGATATATAACGCTGACCTATTTCACGCCGGCTGATTCTACGCGAAAAAACGAGCTTCGGCTAGCCTTTCCCCGCAATCACTAGGTTTACGGTCACCATCTCTTGAGGCGCCTAAATTAACTTTGCAGTTTTCAGGCGCCTCGGATGTCGATCCCGCGGACGTTAAGCTCGCGGCCCACCTTCGTAGGAGCAGTTTCGGAGGAGCGCCGAGACGACGTGGCGCGTGGAGTCGTCGTCTTCTACTAGCAGCACGCGCAGTGAGCCCTCCATCAATACCCCCCACCCGCCGCCGCCGCTCCCGCCGCCCGCTTCGTTCTGCCCGTCATGCAGCTCAAAGTCGTCACCCGTCTCATCCCCGTCATCCTCCTCCTCATTATCGCTATTAGCTTCGAGCTGCTGCTGCTGCTGTTCGTTTTTCGCCTGCCTGTCTCGTTGGTCGCCTCCGGATCCGTTCTCGTCTCCTGAAGCGACGTCCGCGCCAAGAACAGCATCGGTATTCGGTTGTTGTTGAGTCTGAGGTTCGGGTTGTAACGGGCTCTGCTCTTCCTGGTTTTGCGGGAAGATCTGCCTGCCTACTTCGTCGTTATTCTGATCGTACATCTGATCAACTGCGAGAGCTATCCGGTCAAACTCCCTATCTAGACCGTGACCGTGCCGACGTTCATCAGCATTCAAACCGCCGCCTCTTACAGCGTCTCTTTTAACCAAATCTAACTCCTGATCCCCAAACTCTCCGGCCATACTGGCTTCTGCTCCTTATCGCAGTCGCCTGGTCCTTAGTAGACACGCTAAGCACGGAATATGATCCCGATTCGGTTCTTAGAATTGAAAGGCGATATTTCTGGCATATGACGTGGAAATGGCTGAGCATTTCGTCGTGAACATTCAAGAAGATGAGGTGAGAGCTAACTACACAAACTCCAATGTGTTCCCTGTATCAACACGTGTGTGGCTCTCCTTTCTCCTCGTTGCACCCGGATTTTTTCCTCCGCCTTTCTGACCTATGTGGCTGCAGTGGGATAGGGCCAAGGCCGAGGAAAAATCTTTTCCTCTTCCTTGAAACCCTCGCTGCTTCCCGTGCCGCTGTGGGATATCACTTGCTCGCCCGTGGTTGGCTGGTTTGCTGAACAAATGAACTCGAGCTTGGGGCTTTCGGAATGACGGATCAAATGCTGCACCACCGGGGCACGGTCAGGCGGCTTTTTTTGCGCACCATCCTACCGAGCAATATCAGCCAAGCGAACGCAAGGCCGAAATGGCAGGCACAGATGCCGCGGTGGAGAATATCTCGAATTCGCCGTTTCGGCGGTCGAGCCTTTCGAAACTGCCCGGGTGCGATTTATGCCATTTCATTTGCCTTGTCACCCCGCAAATTCGGGCCAGGAAGGGCGAACAGAGACAGGAGGTGGATGAATTCCTACCAATTTGTTGATCCGCACGACTTATTACTGTAGTAGTCTAGTGACAGACGAGGCAGCAGTACAGCACGTGATGTGAAGGGTGAGATGATTCGGTTTCTGCGACTGGCGGAATAAAAAATCTTGTGGTGGGAAAAGGAGGGAACTTTTACTGGGTGACTGAAGCGCCATGCCACGCCACCACCACCAACCCAGCCAGCACCCTTCCAGCCAGACCAACAGCCATCTCCCAGAATCCATACCAGCCCCAATTGCGGTGACATGATATTGCTGCTGGAGAGCAGTTGACAGGTGGACCATGCTGACTCGTTCGAGCCCAGAAAAAATCCTCACAGAGATCGAGGACCATCCAGAAACAGAGGCTTGTGTACAGAAATCATTATTTGACAAGGTGGGACTGTACGGGCAGCTTGAACAGCGGAAGAACGAGAAAAGGTTGTCAGATATTAGTCAGACTGGAATGTCCTTGCTTCATCTTGTGGCCAACCTTGTTCGTTGAAGTATCTCTTCGTCATGCGAACGTCAAGGGGCACGAAATCGAATTTTTCAAAATGCCTCCAGCCACAGAGTGGCATGATGTGGCCTGGAAAGGTGAGCGAGGGAGATGCTGACCCTGGATTGTTTTCAGATATTCACCAACCCGCAACCACACAGAAGTCTGGAATGAAATCAGCTGCCCCGAGGTCTGGAAGAGCAGTGACCACACTGATTGTAGCAGCCTGAATTAACCGTATTATATGTACAAACTTATGTATGGAAGTTACTTTGGCAGTGACCAGGCTTGGTGGTTATAATATACATAATAGCCAGCTTCAAAGTATATCGTGTATGTTCATATAACTGTATGCAGATATATTAATAAACTACTACCATATGTTTGCTGTATAGCATAGGTTCTACATTTTGTGCCATGGGAAGCCATTGCCAGCAACACCAACATATACTGACAACGTTCGACATGGACAGGAAGTCAAAAAGGATCCGCGAATGGCTCAACAAGTAGGTGCATGCCGAATCCAGCCCGCAACGTGACGGCACTGATGGGGAAGTGCTTGTAGGCCGGCGAGAGGCGCCACGAGAACCGCCTCAGGATGTGTGCCAAAACCACCTTTGCTTCAGTGAGAGCAAAAGTGTTGCCGATGCAAATACGCGGGCCCGAACCAAAGGGAAGGAACGCCTGGGGATGAGAACAGGCTTCATCTGGACCTTCTGTAACGTGTCGGGTACATTGAATGCACGAGAGGACAACAGGCAGTGAAGTGAAGGGACATGAATGATTGAGCTCAAACCACCTGGTACTAGAGTACTGCGAGGAAGACCGCGAGGGAATACAGAAGAACCGAAATAGGGGCACATGAAATCACACGAAATCACATGAAAACCGGTGAGAAAAAATTGGGGGGAGAAACAGAGTGATGCTGCAAACATGCTAAAAGGGAACGCGGGAATGGAAAAGGCGAAGGCAACGAAGGGAACTGACTGGCGAAGCGGTCGGGGTTGAACTCGAGAGCATGGGGCCCCCAGAAGCGTGGGTCGTAGTGGAGCATGGCGACTGGTATCAGCACGTCCGTGCCCCGGGGTAGGTCGTACGGTCCCAACCTGCATGCCTGTAGAGGGCAGGTGCAGCGAGACGGAGAGCAGGTGAGGATGAGAAAGTGGGGAGGAGTGGCAGCCTGCATGGAACATGGAAACCACTTGAATTAACCCCTCTCCACCCATGGAACCTGCGAGCCCGTTTCAATCTACCCCACCCCTTTGAATCTAATCCGCCCAACTGAAATTATCAAGCCCATTCATATTACACCAACCAGACCCATATTGTTTTCCCTGCCCATTCAAACTTACCCTACCCACGAACATTTACCCTATCCATTTTAATCCATCCCACCAATTTGAGCTAGCCCGTGAAAATGAACCCGCCACCAATGTGGATCCCCCCAGCCCACTCCCCCCTCCCCCAGCCCATTTGCTCCCCCCCAGCCCATTTGCTCCCCCCAAGCCCATTTGCTCCCCCCAGCCCATTTGCCCCCCCAAGCCCATTTGCCCCCCCCCAGCCCATTTGCCACCTCCAGCCCATCCCCCCCCACTCTCCCCCCCCCCTGTGCACCAGCACTATCTACCTGCTGGCACGTGCGGCCCATGAAGGGGACGGGGGGGAACATGCGCAGGCTCTCCTGCAACACCAATGTGACCCCCCCCCCCCCCAGCCCATACAAGCCCCCCTTGCATCTGAACCCACCGAGCTGAACCCACCGCACTGAGCCTGCAGCCCGTCTCGAGTCTTACCTGCTGGCACGTGCGGCCCATGAAGGAGACGGGCGGGAACATGCGCAGGCTCTCCTGCAACACCATGCCCATATCCTTCAGCAGTGCTACCACCTCCCATGTCACCCGCCCCCCTCCTCCTTCTCTCTCGCTTTCCCCTCGCTCTCCTCCCTCTCGCTCTCCTCCCTCCTGTCCCCCTTCCTCTCCCTCCCTTCCAGACGCCCCTTGGTTTGTCTCTCCTGGTTTTCCTGCAGCTGCTGCCCCTGACCCCGCCTTGTCTGCTGCTCCGGCTGCTGTGGTGGCTGTGGCGACTGCTGACGTGTCTCGTGCCCCCTGCTGAGTCAGCGCCTGCTTGAGCTCTACTCTCAGCCGCTCCTGCCAGTCGGGATGCTTTGCCAGCAGATAGAACGTCCACGTCAGCAGGCGAGCTGTGGTGCCGTGGCCTGGAATTGGGGGGAGAGGCAGAAAGAAAGATGGGAGGCGACAGAGAAGGGAGCGATAAAAACAGGATGGGCCTTGATGAAAAGAAAAAGGGGTTGACGCAGAGAAGGGGGGCGATGGAGAGACATGGGCAGGTGGAATTGGGTGGGGGGAACACGAGCAGAGGAAGTGTGTGGAAAGGGAAAATGGGCATGGACGAAAACACACGTTAAGACAGACCCACTACACCAAGACAGTTAAGTCACTTTTGAGTCAGTACCAGCGAGGAGGAAAGTGATGCATTCGTCCATGAGCTGCTGATCCGTCATCTGCTGTTTGTGTTTCGAGTCACGTCACTACAAACATATAATCCGACCCCAAACACAAAGGCAGAACGAGCATACCAGCAAGAAGGAACGTGATGCACTCGTCCATGAGCTGTTGATCTGTCATCTGCTCGTTGCCTGCCTAGTCATGTGCTGCCAGCATGAGTGCCAGCAGGTCCCGAGCAGCTCGCCCTGTTGCCCCCCCCTGTTGCTTCTCTGACCCTCCGTGTGCCTCCTCCTCCGCATGCACTGCTGCTGCTGCTGCTGCCCGCCTCTTGCCAATCAGGTGCAAGGTCAGGTTGCGGATCTTCTTCTCTGCTGCCCACAAGGCAAAGTTCTCTGGAAGGGGCAGGATGCTGAGACGGGGAGTGGCGAGGGCGTAAAATAAAAGGTGAGGAAATGCACGCAAAAGAAAGTGAGGACATGACAATGGGTGGAAACGTTTGAGTCGACTCAAAAGTGAAGGCACGGTGGAGGCACGGTGGAGGCACGGCGGAGGAAAAGAAGCGCTCGTACTCATAGAAGGGCACGAGGGAGCGCCAGGAGAAGACTCTCTTGGCGCCCAGCTCTGCCAGCTTGGGCAATGCGTTGTACAGCTGCACTGGATCCCCTGCCCCTGCCACTGCCACTGCCACTGCTGGTACTGGTGCGGTGCGATGCGGTGTGGTGTGGTGCGGTGCAGGCACAGAATTATACTTACTCATAGAAGGGCACGAGGGAGCGCCAGGAGAAGACCCTCTTGGCGCCCAGCTCTGCCAGCTTGGACAGAGCGTTGTACAGCTGCACTGGATCCCCTGCCCCTGCCGCTACTGCTACTGCTTTATCTGCCTTTGCTGCTCGTTCCCGTCCTATGTCTCCAGGCATGAGCCTACCACCCTCCTCGCCTCCCTCGTGCATGACAGCAGAGCCAAAGGCAGCGAGCCCGATGACATCGAGAGCCACGAGGGACATGCTCTCCTGCACGTCCACCTCCATGCACGCACGCTCCTTATTAGCACGCTCGCTATGAGCACCCTCCTGCACTCCCTCTTCATTCCCCTCCCTCTGCTGCTGCAGCTGATTCGACCACGAGTTCGCCAAGGACTGGCCCTGGCCATCCATGATTCCCACCATCTCCTGCGAGGGTCATAGCAGGTCAACGCAAGTCAATGCAGGTCAACGCAGGTCAAACCAGGCCAACGCAGGTCAATGAAAGTCAAAGTGTAAAAAGGGAGTTCCAACGCCATTGAGTCAACTGTGGGAGAGACAGCCAAAGTGGGTCGATTGCCAGCAAGAGCCAGCAACGTGCACCATGGGCAGAAAATTGTTTCACATCCTTCCATGTGCTTCCTTTGTATTAGAACATGTTCCTATGCTCCCATGCTCCCATGCTCCCACGCTCCCATGCTCCCATGCTCCCATGCTCCCATGCTCCCACGCTCCCATGCTCCCATGCTCCCATGCTCCCATGCTCCCATGTTCCCATGTGTCCTTCACACGGTCATAACACCACTATTAGCTCACCTTGATGGCGGCGGGGCGGAAGGCAGGATTCACGATGCGGCGCTGGCGGGCCCACAGAGACCCCTCTGAGAGAGGCAGACCGTTGCCCAGCAGCCTCAGCGCCTTGCGCGCCCCTGCTGTCTTGGTGAAGCGCCCGCTGCTGGATAGCAGGACCTGCCGGGGACGAGAGGGATGGGGTATGGATGGTTTTCGGATTATTTAGGCGCCTCAGAGACTGCCTTGCGCGCCCCCGCTGCCTTGGTGAATCGCCCGCTGCTGGATAGCAGGACCTGCCGGCAACGAGGCAGGTGGATGGGGAAGAAAGAGACGATGGGAAGAAAAGGGATGAGAGGAGGAAGTAAGTGAGTGAAGTGGGGAGGCGGAAAGAAGTGTGGGGGTGTGGTTGGTGGTGGGGCATTGACCTTGTTTTTGTTCAAACCGTCTCATAGAATCACACTCACGTGATAATCACATCGACGTAGTCACGTCCCTGTACCTGTCTCACTAGTGCAGGATCCGTTACAAGCAGCTGCGCCGTCCCCCCTATAGTGAACCCGAACACGTCACCGTACTGCTGGCGCCACTCGTGCAGCCGCGGAAGGAACACAGCCGGGCCGTGCGTGGAGGGGGGAGAGTCGGGGGAAGGGGAGGCGGAGGAGGAGGAGGAGGAGGCGGGAGGGGGGGTGAGGCGGTAGAGGTCGAGCGCTTGACCAATGAAAGGCCTGGAGTGCATGGGAGGAGGGGATGCAAGGGGGGGGGGACAGGATGCGAGGGGGGACATGGGGGGGGTGGGGGAGGGAAGAGTTTTCTGTTGTTTCAGAAGAGGGAAATGGGCGGTGGGAGATTTTTTATTCGTCTCAGAAGGGGGAGATGCGGAGTGGGGCGGGGGGGAAGGGGGGAAATGGAGATGATAAAGCGGTTCGAGTTGGAGGAAGGGAGGTGAGACGAGAACGATTGTGCCTCGAACAGAAGAACTAAATGGCTCGGTATTCTAGCGGAAAATTCTAATAATGAAGCGAAAATGCGCGAATGTGCCTTAGTTGAGTTGTACGCTTGATTGAGCAGAACGAACAGAAAATGTATTGCTTGAAGCGGCGCAAACGAAATGTTTTTTTTTTTAACCGGCGGAAGAAGGGGCTTACTTAAAAAGCGGGAACGAAATGTCTTACTTAAACGGCAGGAATGGAATGCCTTGCTTCTTGCAGAGCCGCACTATCCGGTACGGCACATACACAAGGCGGTATGCGAGGAACAGCGTTCCGGCTGCTATTCCAGCCCACGGGACGAAAGCTAACCACCAAGGAACATGGTGCTGCCACGTGGCTCCATCTTGCCACGTTACTGTGCTAAACTCTGACAGTAGGGTCATCTGGAACAGCTGGGAGTTCTGAAGAAGCGTTACGAGGTAGGGAGTAGGAGGAAATAAATGCTAGGGAAATCCACAGGAGGAACAAGCACCACAACCCAGCACGCGAAATTTTCACATTTTGGATGGTGGAGTTGAATTCCTTCCAACACCATGAGATTATTCCAGGCAAGGGCTGGAACTTGACACGGGAATCCCAAGGTGGGCATCTGACGGCCAGAATCGGTGAAGGGTTCTGAACCAGAGGGCCTTCGGGGCGTTCGGTTCAGGTTTAGTTCCATCACACTCGTGTTCGCGAGTCTCCCTTGCCACTTTCGCGTTGAGTTTTCGCAGCCATTTTGGTTCGCAGCCTGCGAGCCGCAGAGCGAGCATGCACGCGAGATTAGTTGCGGTCCCCCATCGCCACGCACTTCACTGACCAGGTTCTGCTATGTGCAGCTGGAAAACCACGCCATGCATGCGACCCAGCATGATGAGGACATTTCGCGAGATTCTCATTCAGTACCCCATAATGTTTCAACTCGATTAAAATTGCAAGGACAAAAAAAACCAGTTTGTGCAAAACCATCAAGATTTCATATTTGCCATTTAATTGTCCCATGCGCTAATGAGATTGACTGGACTATAAGCACACCCCTGATTTCTTTGCGTTTTCTTATACGCGCACCTGCGCCTCTATCCGGGGTATTATGGTACTTCAGGAATCACGATGTTGCGGTATGTGCCATTGAACTCAGAAAGGGTTTGCCAATGGCTCAACAATTAGGTGCATGCCAAATGCTGCCCGCATAGTGACAGCACTGACAGGGAAGTGCTTGTAGGCGGGAGAGAGGCGCCACGAGAACCGCCTGAGGATGTGTGCCAACACCACCTTTGCTTCGGTGAGGGCAAAGTTGTTCCCGATGCAAATACGTGGGCCCGAACCAAAGGGAAGGAATGCCTGAGGGTGAGAACAGGCTTCATCTAAGCCTTCTGGAATGGGTGGGATTGAGGCAGACATGAGAGAAAATGGGTAATAGAGGAATGGGCAAACGTGATAGATTGAGTGCACGCCACAACGAATGGAAGTTCCGCGATAATAATTATTAGGGGAAACAACAGGGAAGGGGAAACAAGAGGAGAAAAGGGCACAGGAACGTGGACGAGAAATTGCAAAGAGAACAGCGGGGAAAATCAGAAGTGGCAACAAAAGATATGCTAAACTTAGACGATGAGGTACAGGCGACAAAGGAGACTGACTGGCAAAGCGGTCCGGGTTGAAGTCGAGGGTGTGGGGGCCCCAGAAGCGCGGGTCGTAGTGCAGCATGGCGACTGGTATCAGCACGTCTATCCCTTGGGGTAGGTCGTACGGCCCCACCCTGCACGCCTGGAGACAGGAGGTGCGGTGAGAGGGAGGAGAGAGTGAGGAGGGAAGAGTCAGGAGGAAAGCATGAGGAGCGAGGAGGAGAGAGTGAGGAGGAGAGAGTGAGGAGGAGAGAGTGAGGAGGAGAGAGTGAGGAGGAGAGAGTGAGGAAGAGAGAGTGAGGAAGAGAGAGTGAGGAAGAGAGAGTGAGGAAGAGAGAGTGAGGAAGAGAGAGTGAGGAGGAGAGAGTGAGGAGAGAGTAGGGAGGGGAGAGTGAGAAAGAGAGAGTGAGGAGGAGAGGCAGCCTGTGTGAGTAGGTAGCAGATAAGGCTGAAAGGTTCAGAGAGCCGCTGCCTGTGTGAGTGGGTGTACCTGTTGGCACGTGCGGCCCATGAAAGGGACGGGTGGGAACATGCGCAGGCTCTCCTGCAGCATCATGCCCATGTCTTTCAGCGCCGCCACCACCTCCCATGTCACCCGCCCCCCTCCCTCCCCCTCTCGTCCCTCTCGCCTTCCTCCCTCTCGCCCTCCTCCCTCCTCTCCCTCCTCTCCCTCCCCTCCAGACCCCCTTTGGTTTCCCCCTCCTGGTTTTCCTCCACCTTCCTCTGACCCCGCCTTCTCTGCTGCTGCTGTTCCTGTGGTGGCTGCTGACGTGTCTCGTGCCCCCTGCTGAGTAAGCGCCTGCTTGAGCTCTGCTCTCAGCCGCTCCTGCCATTCAGGATGCTTCGCCAGCAGATAGAACGTCCACGTCAGCAGATGCGCCGTGGTGGCATGGCCTGGCGATGTGGGCGAGGCAGGAAGGAAGATGGGAGGTGACAAAGGAGGAGGCGACAAAGGAGGGGGCGAGCAAGGAGGGGGCGAGCAAGGAGGGGGCGAGCAAGGAGGAGGCGAGCAAGGAGGAGGTGATAAAGGAGGTACGTCGTAGCTTCTGTGTTTTACACTGACTTGAGAGTGTGTTTCGACTCGACTGAACACACAAAGGCAGAAAGAGCGTACCAGCGAGGAGGAAGGTGATGCATTCGTCCATGAGCTACTGATCCGTCATCTGCTGTTTGTGTTTCGAGCCAAGTCCGAGCACACTTATAAAGTCAACACAACACACAAACACAGTACGAGCATACCAGCAAGAAGGAACGTGATGCACTCGTCCATGAGCTGTTGATCTGTCATCTGCTCGTTGCCTGCCTCGTCATGTGCTGCCAGCATCAGTGCCAGCAGGTCCCGAGCAGCCCTCCCTGTTGCCCCCCCCTGTTGCTTCTCTGACTCTCCGTGTGCCTCCTCCTCTGCATGTACTGCTGCTGCTGCTGCCCGCCTCTTGCCAATCAGGTGCAGAGCACATCCGCAAGAAAGCGGAGGAGCCAGTGGAACTTGAACGAGGTTACCACCTCGTACAGCTCCGCCTTGTAGTCCTTCAACACCACGATGGCTGCAGGGAGGACATCGAGCAGTCGTTGAACCGCCTCACCACAGGAGAGCCAGCGCACGGCGTGGATCCCTTGCGCCTCCAAGTTAGTCTGGCAGAAGATCTGCTGCAGGTTCTGAAACTTGGTGTAGTGCACGCTGCTGCGGCCGATGTGCTCTGCGAACGCCCGCACCACACCGTCCACCATGCGAAGTTCGGGGACTTCGTCGGCGGCATCTCGGACTGCGAGGGCCTCCCTGCGAGATAAAACACCTTGGTTAAAAACAACTTCGTGTACCAAGAATGAAATCGGATGCAACGTTTAACACGTCGGTCACACGCTCACCTATGCGCGATACAGTGTATTGATGCCAGGTGTGGAATGCGCATTCGCAGCCTGGCAACCATTCCGTTGTTCTTCCCGACCATGACGTTCGTGTCAAATGATATATCTGCTATATATGTTTAGGCTGTAGTGGGGTAGCCAATATGGGGTACAGCCCCTTTTAGGGTTTCATACTTGTACCCATCTCTTCCATAGTGCATTCATTTCTGCTGCTAGATTCAAACATGGTTTCAGAGCACTAGGTCCGTAGGACCGTCTTTTTTTTCGGGCCCACCTACCGTTGCGGTTACCGCGCTACCCCACGTGTTGTCCTGCGCCTGCGTGCCTGCCTGCCTTGCCTTGTGACATGCTGCGCTGCGCGCGCCGTCCTCCAGCCCGCGCGCCGCCTCCTGCTGCCCTAGGCCAGCGCGCCGCCCCTGCAGGCCCGTAAGGCCTGCGCGCCGCCCCTGCCGGCTCGTAAGGCCCACGCGCCGCCCCTGCAGGCCCGTCAGGCCAGAGCGCCGCCCCTGCAGGCCCGTCAGGCCCGCGAGCCGTCCCTGCAGGCCCGTCAGGCCCGCGAGCCGCCCCTGCAGGCCCGTCAGGCCAGAGCGCCGCCCCGCCAGGTCGCTGACGCGGCCCCGCCCTACCGCTGACGTGGCCCCGCCCTGCCGCGGTCGCGGCCCCGCCCTGCCGCCGACGCGGCCCCGCCCTGCCTCTGACGCGGCCGCGCCCTGCCGCCGACGCGGCCCCGCCAGGTCGCTGTCGCGGCCCGCCCTGCCGCTGACGCGGCCCGCCCTGCCTCTGACACGGCCGCGCCCTTCCGCCAACGCGGCCCTGCCCTGCCTCTGACGCGGCCGCGCCCTGCAGCCGACGCGGCCCCGCCCTGCCTCTGACGCGGCCGCGCCCTGCCGCCGACGCGGCCCCGCCCTGCCTCTGACGCGGCCGCGCCCTGCAGCCGACGCGGCCCCGCCCTGCCTCTGACGCGGCCGCGCCCTGCAGCCGGCGCGGCCCCGCCCTGCCTCTGACGCGGCCGCGCCCTGCAGCCGACGCGGCCCCGCCCTGCCTCTGACGCGGCCGCGCCCTGCAGCCGACGCAGCCCCGCCAGGTCGCGGCCCCGCCCTGCCGCCGACGCGGCCCCGCCAGGACTCTGTCGCGGCCCCGACCTGCCGCTGACACGGCCCCGCCCTGCAGCTGACGCGGCCCCGACCTGCCGCTGCAGCGGCCCCGCCCAGCAGCTGCCGCGGCCCTACTCTGCAGCCGCTGTTGCGGCCCCGCCGTCGCCACCGTCGTGCGCCTACCCTGCTGCTCGCCCGGCGAGCGCCTGCCCTTCCCGCCACTGGTGAACACCTGCCTTGTTCGCGCGCTGCCGCGCCCTCTGCATGCCTGCCTGCCTGCCGCGCCTGCCCTGCCCGCGCTGCTGCTGCTACTACTGCTGCTGGCGGTGGCCAGATGCAGCTCCAGCGACATCCGCGCGAGTCTCTCACGCCCCAGCAACTTCGTGAGTGGTACGCTAGTTGGGGTTGTGGCGGTAGCCGTCGTGGCTGTCGCCCTGGAGCTGGTCAGTCGGGAGCGTCTGGCAGTGGCCAGCTGCAGTTGCAGCGGCGTCCGCGCGAGACACTTACGCCCCAGCAACTTCGTGAGTGGTACGCTCAGAGTAGAGGGTCTTTGAGTACCGTTCGCTGCCCGTACGTCATTCGCACAGGTGATCGGGCTGGTCAGGCCTGCGGGACGCTTGGTCACACACAGTCCCGCTGCTTCGCCCGTCTGAGCGACGCCTGGCGTACCGAGTTTGGCGACGAGGCTGAGCTCCCCACCTGGCTGGAGCTGCTTGGGCAGAGGGTAGATATATTTGCTCTTGACTATGATGCTATTCTCACTGCCATGTATGCATTGCCTACTAGTGCTGACCGTGCCTGTTACCTGTGCGTACCGCCTGACCCAGGTATAGAGCCTGCTGCTCTCGGTGCTGGTGAGGCTGCTGCTCTAGGTGCTCGTGCGTCTTCTGCTCTAGGTGCTGGTGAGGCTGCTGCTCTAGGTGCTAGTGCGTCTCCTGCTCTAGGTGCTGGTGAGGCTGCTGCTCCAGGTGCTGGTGAGTCTGCTCTCTCTGGTACTGCGCCTGCTGAGGCCTTGTACACCTTCACACTTGACTCAGGTGCTTCCCGCTCCTTCTTTCGTGACAGCACCACCCTCACGCCTCTCAGCCAGCCGGTTGCAGTCTCCCTGGCAGACCCCTCTGGGGGTCCAGTCCTTGCGCACTCCTCCACGGTCCTGCCGTGTCCGGCGGTCCCGTCTGACTCCCTGTCAGGTCTTCACCTCCCCTCGTTCTCTACGAACTTGGTGAGTGGTGCTGACCTCCAGGACCAGTGGGTTGACCGGTTCACTCCTGGAGGTCAGCGCGTGACCCACTGTACGTGCTCCCGGACGGGCCGGCACCTGGCCACGTTTACCCGTGCGCCTGGCTCGAGTCTGTACACACTGACTACTGTGTCCCCTCAGGTCGCTGCGTCTGCGTCTGCGTCAGGTCAGCTAGCGGCCCCCTGCTCGTGTCGCGCTTTGTCGCACCAGACCCTCCTTTGGCACCACCGCCTTGGTCACCCCTCGGTGCAGCGCCTTCGTAGCATGCACCGCCGTGTCCTTGTCTCTGGTCTTCCCAGGGTTCTCCCTCCCCTCCCACCCTCGCCTGCTCCTCCCTGTCTTCCCTGTGTCGAGGGGCGGCAGCGCGCCGCTCCTCACTCCTCCTCGTTCCCTCCCACGGAGGCTCCCCTGCAGACTCTCCACCTGGATGTGTGGGGCCCAGCCCGCGTCCGTGGACAGGGCCACAAGCGGTACTTCCTGCTGGTCGTCGACGACTACACGCGTTACACCACGGTCTTCCCCTTGAAGCGCAAGGGGGAGGTCCCTGATGTTTTGATCCCCTGGATCCGCGCTGTTCGTCTCCAGCTCTGCGAGCGGTTCCACTCGGACTTTCCTGTCCTGCGTCTGCACTCTGACAGAGGTGGTGAGTTCTCCTCAGACCTCTTGGCAGCCTTCTGTGCGGAGCACGGCATCCGCCAGACGTTCACGCTTCCGGCCTTTCCGCAGCAGAATGGGGTTGCTGAGCGCCGCATTGGCTTAGTCATGGAGGTCGCTCGTACCTCCATGATCCATGCGGCTGCCCCCCATTTTCTGTGGCCGTTTGCGGTCCGGTACGCCGCGCATCAGCTCAACCTTTGGCCCCGTCTCTCCTTGCCGGAGACCTCGCCCACACTGCTGTGGATGGGGAAGGTTGGCGATGCGTCGCATTTCTGGGTCTGGGGTGCTCGTGCCTTTGTCAGCGATACCACTGCGGACAAGCTCTTCGCCCGCGCTGTTCCCTGTGTCTTCCTTGGCTTTGTCCCTGACGCGCCTGGTTGGCAGTTTTACCACCCCACCTCGCGCCGTGTCTTCCCCTCTCAGGACGTCATGTTCGACGAGTCGGTTCCCTTTTACCGTCTCTTCCCCTACCGCACTGCCCCTCTCCCCCCCCCGCCGCTCTTCCTCGCTCCAGGTGCTGCTGAGGTAGACCCCCTCCCCGCTCCCGGTCCTGCTCCTTCAGGTGTGTCTCAGGTAGACCCTCCTCCCTTGACTGAGGCGGTTGAGGTCACTGGTGACTCAGGTCCTGCTGAGGGTGGTCCTGCTCGGGGTGCTGCTTCTGGGGGTGCTGAGCCTGGGGGTGCGGAGCCTGGGGGTGCTGAGCCTGGGGGTGCGGAGACTGGAGGTGCTGAGCCTGGGCGTGAGGAGTCTGGGGGTGCTGAGCCTGGGGGTACTGAGTCTGGGGGTGCTGCACCTGGGGGCGCTGAGGCGTGTGGTGAGCAGTCTCCCTTGAGCGGCCGTCTCCGTAGTCGCTCCGCTGGTGCCTCGCCGCTGCACTCTCGTCGTCGACTCCCTCTCTCCCCACGGCAGCTGCTTGAGTGGTACGTTGGCCGTCAGGGTCGCGCTGCTGGAGCTAGGGGCCCTGCTGCGGGAGGCGCTGGAGCTGGTGACTCTGCTACTGGAGTTGTTTCTGCTGGAGGTTCTGGAGCTGCTGAGGGTGCTGGAGCTGGAGGTTCTGGAGCTGTTGGAGGTGCTGGCGCTGGTGGCGCTGGAGCTGGAGGTTCTGGAGCTGCTGAGGGTGCTGGCGCTGGAGGTTCTGGAGCTGCTTCGGGTGCTGGCGGTGGAGGTTCTGGAGCTGCTGCGGGTGCTGGCGCTGAGGGTTCTGAGTCTGCTGTTACGCGGTCTCCTTGGAGTAGCCGCCTTCGTCCGCGTGTGCCTCTCACCTCACAGCAGCTGCACGACTGGTACGGTCGCCGTCAGGGTCGCGCTTCTGGAGGCTGGAGACCCTGGGACTGGAGGTGCTGTCAAACTATACTTGTTATAGTTTGTTAGTTTAGTCTAGGTGTTACATTGAGTTATACTGTAGAGGGTATAACCCCCCTTAGGGTTTGCTATATCCTCCCTTGTACTGCTTGTTTCTACTTATTCATTATTCCAGTTCTATCTTTGACATGGTATAGAGCTTAGTTCGTTCCCATGGGCCCACCTCCGTACGCCCCGTTCGTTGCTCGATAGCTGCCCGTAGCGCGCTCGCCGCCCGTTGGCTCGCTCGTTTTAGGGTTTCACATGCTAGCCGCTCGGTAGCCGCCCGTTAGCCGCCCGTCCACCGTCCGTTCGCCGTCCGTTAGCCGTCCGTTAACGCCCTCGGCAGGTCCCGTCACCCCACGGGCCGTAGCGCGGCCCCCGCGGGCCTTCGTCCGTCCCGTAGCACGCCGCCCCCCCCCCCCCCCCCCCCCCGTGGGCGCTCCCGTTCGTCCTTAGCGTGGCCCCCGCGGGCGCACTCGTCCGTCCCGTAGCGCGCCCCCCCCACGGGCGCTCTCGTTCGTCCTTAGCGCGGCCCCCATGGGCGCTCACGTTCGTCCTTAGCGCGGCCCCCCGCGGGTGCTCTCATTCGTCCCGTAGCGCCCGTCGTCCGTAGCGCCGTCGTCCGTAGCGCCCGTCGCCCGTAGCGCCCGTCCTCCCCCCCCCCCCCCCCCCCCCCCCCCCCCCCCCCCCCCCCCCCCCCCCCCCCCCC